GCATACAAACAGTGTATTTGAAGTATCATTTGTATTCCACAAGTGATACGTTTTAAGATTGACCTTTAACCTAGTTTGTATTCTACGTTTTATGTTTAAAGCATAGGTTGTATTGCTACAGTTGACTTTGTTTCTTATTTTAAAATGAATCTCTGTTCGTGTTCTGATATTTTTACTTCAAGTGATATGGAATGAGTTTCAAAAAATTTTAATGATTAAATTATCGTTTTTTGTGTTTTTTTTTACTGTAATGCTTTAATTTTAGTTAGGAAGGAACCAGTTTAAGCCGGTTCATTGCCGGTTTTAGTTGATGAAGCTTAATTAGTTTAGTGTACAGTTTTTATGTGGAAAACTAAACTGTATTTAACATTTTATTGAAGTGTGTTCCTCCTTTTTTTTCCATTTCAGTCTAGTTATTGATTAAAGCTTTCGATTATTGCTTTTGAAAAAATTGATTTAACCAACCACAAGGCGCGATGACAGAATAACTAACTACGTTCGTGTGGTGAAAACGAGGTTACACTTAAACGATAATTTATTTATCATGGTAGATTCTTTCTATAAAGCTGCGCTGTAAATGTTTTAAAATATTTCCTAATGAATCAACTCTGCTTATTATTGCTTCTGTGCTCTCAAAATTTGAACATACTTTAGCTTTAATCACTGACCTGTGTGTTAATAAGTTCGAAATTGTTGTTTGTTCTGTATGGCCCGATTCCATACCCTAGGCATATAGATAACTTCATTAAATGATATGTATTCTTTTGAAGTCAAATGAAGAAAATTTGTAAACATGTTAGCGTAATCAAGGGAATTTCAGACGTTCCGTTTTAAGTAAATAATAAGTACTTGTATCTAAATTCAAATAATAGCCTTATCACGTGATGCGTTGTATGCCAGCAAATAAATATATATGCAGACTACTTAACTTTATGCATTTCAAACATATCACACACACACACACACACACACACACACACACACACACACACACACATATATATATATATATATATATATATACTTATATTAGTTATTAGTTGCGTAGTACGAAGGGTAAGTACGTACGTTAA